AAATAATCATTTTCCCTGCGCTCTTTTCTTTCTTTGCTTCGTAAATCTGCCGCTCACTAGAAAGAATACTGAAGTAAATTATCATCATCGTCGACATCCTCAGTTTCTTCTCATTTATTAGAACTAAAATCTTCAAGTTAAAAATATAAATAGTTTGATAATAGTTTTGATTAATAGTTTGAGTCTATAAATCACCCGCCTCCCGATTTTTAAGCCTCGTTTGTGTTCCCTCAAGGATTTATTATGTTATCAAGCAAGGAAAAATGTCACTGTTTTCTTTTGCTCAAATATATGACTGAAGAAAAATACTTAAAGAAAAAGGAAATAGGATTTTAATGGTTCAATTCTTAATTCTATTCTTTTGCTGTTAAAGCTCCACCAAAAAAGTGGTGTTGTACATTCTTTCACTGACCACCAGATAAACACTGTATCCTATCCTTCTACTGGGAATCATCGTTTGTTCAACTAACTGTATTCTGTCTACTGCTAAATGATAGTTCATTCAAGCATGGCTACTTACAATCTGTTAAACCGGTTAGGACGAGAATGTGAGGTGAACATGATAAGAAAGATTCACATTCGGTAAGGAAATAAGTGGCTCAACATAACATTGGATTACTGGGCTACACACATCATAAGCTTGACGAACAACTGAACACTTAGTACTCACCCCCTTATGAATCCGGAAAGACCGCCATGAAAGAGAGAAAAATAATTTTGAAAAATCATATCAATGCGTTTATAAACTCATTTATTTTTTCTTTTTGAACGAACCAATCTGTTCGGTCTGTAAATGCTCTATTTTGAGATAGAAAATTAGATGACAGGATTTGCTAAATGAAGCAAATAACCACCCAAATATGGCTGATACCTGCTCGTAATAACATTGCTATCGTTTATTACCGAATCTAGGTATTGCAAGATATATATTTTATTAATACTCCCCAGATCAGTAACATCGTTCTCATAGTTACATTTTAACAGTAAAAGCTGTCGCCAATTATCATTGATATACACCCGCAGATTCTCTTGCTCTATTAACGATTGAGGTATACTGATTAGTGTTAAGACAGTAAATCTATGTGCATATTGACCCACAAGACAGTTTTATATTTATAGGAACAGATGATATTGATAGTTACCTTCCCTTTTGTCTGGACAGAAAAAGATGAGATGAGAAAAGATGAGCATTAATGATGTAAATAACATAACTAAAGTTTTGTTATCGCTTATCCACTAGCTAAAAACTTATCCTTTGGATAGTGTTATCCGTCCTTGCACTTTATGCTTACAATCTTTACGCCTTATCTTAACATTTACCACAGACGAATATGACGTGGAAAATGACTCTCCATAACCTTCAGCGAAAATGTTCTAGGGTGGGTTACATTTATGAATTTAAAATACAAAATACACGTTACACACATTATTGGATATCAGCGAAAAGTTCATTGATTTAATCTGTACTGTTAAAAGCAAAAGTAATTTTAGTAGGTTTTCGATAAAAATCCAGGGTCACATCGGATTTTTGTTTCACTCAGTCCTGCACTACAGCTCCCCGACCAATTAGATACAAATTTTGATTCCACTTCATCACGTGCATTTTCGATACCAGATGCTTCCTTTTAGGGGGGAACATTAGATTATAATAACTTGGATTTGTTTGTCCAACACATAATAAAATGGGCTCCCAAAACAATAAGCAATTCATATGTGATCCCAATGTAAATGAAATCTTATGCACTAAAGAATAGGTTGTTGCCACAAGTATAAAAAACTAAGGATAAAACTTGCGCACGACAATTTTTTTTCAACTTACCAGCTAAGCGATTGAAGAAGTAGCATGTAAAATAAAACATATAGAAGTGAAATTAAAATACGCATCTTCAGCTCAAATGCATCCAGTTGTTTATCGAGAAATGGTGCATTCTTCTTCCTTTACATATCGCCTGTACCCCAGTTAAATTGCGAACGTAAACGCACTGTAAAGGTACCGTGCAAATACAAATGCTTTATTTGAAAATAAAACACGTACTTACGTCCTAGTCGTTTTTTATCAGAACCAAGGCCAAAGAATAGAAAAAAATAATAATAACAAGAACAGAGAAATAGATGAGTTACTCAACCAGCATGACCTAGATATTACGTATGATGCACGATCCTCGCAGTACAGAGCGCTATTTATGCAATAGCGAAATCAGACCTGAAAAAAATAAGGCCTGTACGGGATTCGAACCACTAACCTCTGCGATACTAGTGCAGCGCTCTATCAATTGAGCTAACAAGCCAACTGGGAACAGACCGTTAAGTTGATTGGTAATAAACCCGTGATGATAAATCAGATAGGATGAATATGTGAAGTTCATATATTCATACGTATGGTGAACGATCCTAGCAGTAGAGAAGTAATAAACCCGTGATGATAAATCAGATAAGATGAATATATGAAGTTCATATATTTTGAACTGAGGTTATACATACATATGATGCACGATCCTCGCAGTAGAGAGGTTTATTTACGGTTTATTACGAATCAACTTAACGGCCTGCTCCCAGTTGGCTTGTTAGCTCAATTGGTAGAGCGCTGCACTAGTATCGCAGAGGTTAGTGGTTCGAATCCCGTACAGGCCTGATTTTTTTCAGGTCTGATTTTCGCTATTGCNACTATCAATTTCTTTAATGCATCTTAAGCAATCGTAATGTCCGCATGCTGAACAAAAGATCAGAACTGGTTAGAAAATGTCGCCTTGAGAACAATTACATACATAATACATACATACATACATACATACATACATACATACATAGGTTAATTGACCACTCCCCATAGGGGCTTTTCAGGGCCAACACCCACCCATCCCACCCAGGGGAGGACATCCACCACACAGTAATCTCGTGCGTGGGAAATTAACGTCTCCTACCCCTAACCCTGCAGGAGACGGGGCCTACGGTTTATTCGTCCTTATCCGAGAAGACTAGAATATCTATCCATTTCTTGATTATAGAAAGGTAGCAAATTCTCCTCACTTATTTTAAGACCATGAGTATCGGTCCGGCCGGGGCTCGAACCCTCGACCTCCCGCACAAAACACTCCGGCGCTCTGACCAATTGAGCTAACCGGGAGGCGGTTAATTATTTTTCGCGAGGATTAGGAATTTTCGAGAGAGAGAAAGCACATTAGCACACCAACTACAATTCATAAATAA